TTTTTTCTAGTTGATTAAATTCTTTTATTTAAATTGCTTTCGCAATAATTGATTAAGCTTCTCTACGTGTTTTTCCCATATCTGAAAAAAAGGTGTTAGGTACAATATAATATTCTATTAACTCCGATGACGCCGATTGTTTTGTTTCTCCGCCAAAAATTTACATCTTTAGTGAATGCCTCAGCAGAATGTCTAAAAATAATAATGATGGCAAGCGGACTGTGCAAATACCCTTTAATGATATCATCAATTGATGATAATTGTTGTAAAACAAATGCCGCACCTTAAGAAGCATTAACACGCCTATTACCATATTTTTATCCGAAAAAAACAGATTTATTAATAATAATAATAATAATAATAAATGGGTAATTAATTATGGCGAATCATCTGCTAAAAGTTTTTTTCAAATTCAATAATTCTTAAGCAGCTAAAAGAAGAATATCATATAAATTTATATAGTGAATAATTTCGTGACGAACGTGATCCGTTATTCAATCAGTTATTGGAGCCATAAAGAATAATAATTCATATATCATATGGCAATCGGATTATATAAGTTGCAATCCACATTTTTCCAGTTAGCCAGCTAAGCGAGTAAATGGCGCCCTAATCCAGCTCATCCTCTGATGTTTATTGCATCTGATTTGAGCGTTTAATTAACATTTGTGTGCTCCATAAAGCGAAGCGAAACATTTATTTATTCAGCCTGTGTGATATTTATAACTCTTTCCTGTTTCAGTCTTTCCCATTCGTTGCGCTGTGTGTGCCAATTTTAATAATTTGCCCAATTTGCCTGCCATTTAGCAGTTGTGCACTAAATAATCAAACACTTGCCACGAAACAAACGCAAAAGCCCCAAGAAATATACATGTATGTATGTATATACGGCCTTAGGTATCAGGTCGGTATCGTTGGCGTGTTGTGTCCGTCTAACTCCAGCTCTCTCGGTCTTGGTCGGTTTTTATTTATGGCATTTATCATTAGACAATCACATGATTTGAATGCCAAAGCAGTCAATGGACGTGTCCATGTGCAGGCCAACTGACTTGGCCAACGTAATTCTCTGAATACTTAACACGCATACGCACTGTAGGCTCAAGTGTGTTGCGACCTAATCTTTTGTTAAACTAATCACGACTCTTGCCACAGATCGCGTGGAGTGTGTTGGGTAAAACCCTGCTAATATTGAGAATACGTCAAGTAATGCCAACTGTAAATTAATTTTGCACTGTTTAGAGTTTTATTTAAAATAGAAAAATTTCATTTCAGTTTAGACTTATACTAAATAATGATTTTCAGTTCTAGGCTCTAGCCGGATTGAATGAAAACCAGTTTTTACCATGATATTGGCAAACGATTCAGCGATCACGCAGATTGAAAGCGAGATTAGCCAAGAGGCTGGCTGAAATCGAAAACACTTTCTCAGCTCGTAATATAAGCCGATAATTGTATTTTCAGCTGGGAGGATTAACTTTTACTGCCGCCAGGCAGGCACTGCTGAGGTTAATTAAAAAACAGCCGGAAAATTTCATTTAATATAAAGCAAATGCAATTGCAAAATGTCAATGGTCATGCTGCAACAATTGTTGCAGCCAGCCGCTAGGTGCTTGCAGCAGCAACACAAACAACTTCCCATTACAGTATGGATTTTTCTTGTTGAAACTGCAAGTCTTGTTGTTGCTATTGCCAGTGTTGTTTTTGTTGCTGCTGCATTACAATCGCACACTAAATGCCGACGTATGCTTTGCATTTTGTTATTGCTCAATTAACCCCCTTAGTAGCGTTTTTAGCTAATAAATTGTTGCCCATGTCATTCGCAACAAACCCTTTCAGACTGATGACAAACAATATGCCAGGTTATTTGTATACCCTACAGCCATTTAGGCACTTCAAACGGGTATAACAAAGGCTAAAGAAACCAATCTTCCCATATCCAGCCGAGGGCTCTTTTCATAATTGTAAAAACTTATGTAAGTTCTTGACTCCACTTTGGATTTGTGAGCAGGGCATTTGGCAGTCGAGCACTCTCCTCCCAGAGCAATTTTTTGTTGAGTTCGTTTTCGAGCTGGTGAAACTCGTCATTTGACATGCCTGCAAGTGTTCCATTGTTGTAGTTGAGAAATGATTTGTACAATAAGACACTCGAAATTTATATGCGAATCTTTTTGCTATGATAAAAGCAAAAAGCCCTCAGATAACAGACAGATAACTGAAAATGTCAAATAATTGGCCAAAAATAACAAAAACGTCAAGCATTCAAGCTTAACTTTCCCTCTAGATATTTTATATATTTTATATGTACACATACATATATAAATTTTAATTGTTATTTGCTTTTTATTCGATTGTTTGCCTGAAGGCACTTTAATTAAATAATTTTTATGCATAAATATTTACATTTATTTTGGGGCCTTCGCCTTTTGAAATACTATGCGAATGCCTTTTCAGACAGTCGTGTGTACTTATGGCTCAGCTGAAGAGAAGAGCCAGATAAGCTCTGCCATGATAATTGCGAGAGAATTTCGAAAAACGAAGCAAAACAATCTAAGATAGCAGCAATAAATAATTAAATAAAATATTTTTAAATATGTATTTATAGATATATAATATGTATGCAATTCATTGTCCAGTACAGGATATGCCAAAGTCCATCACAATTGTTGTTAGACCTTTGCGATAAATCAAAAATTCTGCTCAGCTGTCGCTTAGCATTTCAATGAAGTTTCTGGCAATTAAGGCAGCCCTGCCATTTAGAAATATATTCGTATAATGATACAATGCGAAAAATTAGCTATATAAATGCCAATTATAAAATATACGGAGAGACTAAATGATGTCAAGGCATTTACTTTCAAAAACGAATTACAAAAAAATTATATTAAAAGAGCAAGAAATTTTATAAGCAACAAAATTACGCAGACTAAAAATTACAAATAAAAAAAAAAAAAAAAAAAAAAAAAAAAAAAAAAAAATTATTCCAAAACCTGCTGCTGTCTCAATTAACTGACAAACATAAAGACAAACAAAATGAACTTCATGTCAGTTCAACCAGAGTCCCATTAAACCGACTCTGACGCCGACGCCTCCCCTGACCCCGCCTGCAGCCCATCAAAATGCTAAACATTAAACATTTACTTATGTCGGCTCCGACACTAAAGCAATTCTGCGCCTTTTATACAATTCCGTCTCGATCTACTCCGACGTTGTTTAGTTCTGGGCGTCAGATTCATTCTAGCCAACCCGTACGAAATTACGCCGCATAATTGCTGTGAATTTGCTGTAGTTAAGAAAAAAAAAAGAGCTCATTTTTATTATATCTTCAATCCTGTCAATAAAAACGCTCGTTTGTTCACTTTTAACTTTTTTTTTATGGTTGCCTGGAATTCGTGGAATTAATTGCCAGTTAAGTCACATGAGCTTTGGCAGTTCGTGCCAATTGTGCAGGTGAGATAAGTGTGGAGGCCAATGATTTTATCAGCGAGATATTAAAAGCACTGCATACAATTCGTACTCTCGCAGTAGCCGGGAGAGGAAATGCAATTATCATGTGAATGTGGCTGGGCCGTGCTACCTGTTCGAGTAAAATTGTGGCATATAATGAGGTAACATCATCATGTCTGTATGGGGAGAGAGGCCTGATTTTTTCTCATTACATAATTATATTGTTAATCTATGATCAGATGTCTAAAATTGTTTTTGGGAATGAGGCCTATGAAATTATTTAGCATTATTCAACATGTTTTCAACCTTCGTTGAGTGGTTCTCGCTGTCTGACGACCCTACTTAGGTAAGAGATTTTCCTAAACAATATATATAGCCCATTGAAAATGGGAAATCAGGGTATAATGGTTTTGTGAAAAAGTATGTAACGGGCAGAAGGAGGCGTGGCAGACCCCACAAAATATATATATTCTTGATCAGCGCGACGAGCTGAGTCGATATAGCCCTGTCCGTCTGTCCGTCCATCCATCCGTCCGTCCGTCCATATGAGTGCGTCGATCTCAGAAGTTATAAGAGCTAGAGAGCTGAAATTTGGCATGCATACTCGTGTGTACCATACGCAGTACGAGTTTACTTAATTTTAATTTTAATTTTTTTAATATCAGCTTGGAGGGTTCAGGGTATCTCCTAGTCGAGCAGTCTCGACTGGAGCCTTCTTACTTGTTATTCTATCTACTATGAATATCCAATGCAAGTCTCTTTCTTTGGTATATACTACTTTTAGTGTACTTAAATGTTATATGATGAGCTGTCTATATTTATATTCGAGACTATCTATCCGCTATGAGTACCCTGTAAAAGTGCTTTTCTTTGGTATATACCTTATTTAGTTTATTTAAAGTCATTTAAATTATGAGTTGTTTAGATGACTACTATAATAATAATAATAAAAAATAATATTTTCAACGATCTATCTTTCGTGAATACCCTGTACAAATCTCTTTTCCTTTGTTACATTATAACGTATATACATGTTCTATTATGAGTTGACTCGATTTAACCAAATCTTTCTCACAGTTCTTAGTAGTAGGATGACCCTCTTTTTATATAGTGCACAGTCATCTATGGCGCAGGGTATGCCTTAGCCTAACTCTATTGTGCAGTGGGTTTCCAAGGCTTATCTATGCATAAGATAAGATCTAGCTTAATTTTTATATGGTGTTTGCATTTCATTCCACATCCCGCGAATTGTATTCAATAACTTAATTAAATGCATTCCGATGCATTATCACGTACTTCCTTTCCATTTCACTACTCGCTCGCATAATAAAGAGCGGGTATATTTGGTTTATGTGATATTCCATAACGTTATTTGAGTAAGATTATTTCAATAGTGATCAAAGATTTTGTTTAATTACTTCTCATTTCAGCAATTCAATCTTTCCATCAACATACACTCCAAACGAGTATCTTGCAGTCAGTTGCAGCCGACTTTATTGGCTTGTTTATTTTGTGTTTATTTACAGTCGCTTGCGTCGAGTCGCCTTAAGTTGATATTCGTATTGGGATTTTGAGTCGCAGTCTTTTTGCTTTGCTTTAGTCCTCCTCGCGTCGCACCTCGTGACACACATGTCCAAAAAACCAAATTGAGTTGCGAAACTGTTTAATTTAGCAGCGAGTCCAATTTTTTGTTCGCTTTTTATTTTTATTTATTTTTTCCATTCTGCTTTTCATCGTAGTTATTTATTTTGAGACATTCTTTGAGACTGAGGTCTCTCGACGTGTCTCGGTCAGCGAATCGGTGTTTACGATTTATTTAGCCCGACAGCTGACACACACAGCAAGTGAGAGAGCGAGAGAGAGAGAGGCACACGTACATCTCTGCTTGGAGCCACACGCGGAGCCATGGCTAAATTCAATTTGGCCTATACCAAGTAAACATTATTTGAGTTGTATTTTTTTTTTCTTTATTGTAAATCAACTTTTCAATTTGCTGCTGACACAGTTTCCAAGTCGGGGCCCCAGCCCCAGTCTCCGTCTCAGTCTCAGCTTAGGCATTGCTGCACCTGAGCAAGATCTTTGCAGTATAATAATAAATTGCATTTCTGTAGTATCCACAAAGGCTTGTTACCCATTGAGAATTCCGTGGCTCAAGTGCTTGCCTCCATGGAACTTGACTTTAGACAAATATGTATCTAAAAGTAGCCAGCTGATGCTGTGTTGCTGTTGCTGTTGTTGTTGTTGTTGTAGTTAGTGTATTGCGGTTTTGCATTTTAAGCTGCCTGGGAAACACTTGATAGCCAGCGGCTAACGCAAATTTAGCTGTTAAATTTTGTTCACAAAATACATTTTGATAAATGACTCGACGTTTTTACATTATAGAAAAGAAGAAGAGAAAAGTAACACATAAATTTACAGTTTTTGTTTCTGTAATATCGTTGTTTTTGGAGTTAGTTGATGAACTGCCTGGGCTTATCCCATTGTCTGATGCTGAAAGTCAAATAAATAAATTCAAAACGCTTACAAATTATACGATCTGATGATCAATCATTTTGATATCTGTTTCATTCGTCTAGTGGCAAAAAGTTTCATATACTCGAAGGTGGCAAAAATAGCTAAAGTATTTCAAATTTATAAGCGTCAGCCATTCTATAAATATTGTTTTCAATGCCCATTGTTAGACGCAATGTGCTAAAGATTTATTGGCATTCCATACAAATGGATGACGTTGAATTCTAATTAGTCTGGGCACCGCTTACTTTTGAATATATTTCAACTGAAGGTCAACTAGAATATAAACTAAATAGTTAAAAATCTTTTTTAGTACTCAAAATGTTTGAGCTGAAAGAGATTTCATGGCAAATTCAATTTGTGCATTTCCAGTTGGAAAACATTACAATATGTCATAAATTACATTCAGGTTCTTTGATGTCTCGCTAGATTTCAGGATCCATTTTCATGATCTCTCGAGATCATAACATCATATGAAAATGATATAGATTTTAAGATAAATATTATCATACAGTATATCCAAGTAAAATAATATGTTGGTAGATTTCACGATTTATTTTCATATGATATGGATTTTATATTACATCCAAGTTCTATATCTCAAAACAGTTAAGGATTTATTTTCATATGAAAGAGATTTTATGACAAATTCAATTTATGCATTTCCCTCACTATTTCAAATATTATCATACAGGTTCTAGGAACCAAGTTTCTAAATCCGTCATCTTCCGTGTAGGCAAACATTTCCTGATGCGAAATTGTGGCATATTTATGTAAAATCTTTCTATTTATGCCTAGCCTAAGACTTATATAATCGCACACTTTGGGCGCCATTTACCTCTACTACAAAGTGCGCTCCTGTTATTGTCTGTCAGCAAATTGAAATTACGCGCACAAGCAACTGTCCAAGTGGCGAGCGCTTCCTGATTACGTTTTTTTGCATTTTGTGTAGACCTTAAAGACGAAACAAATTGTCGCTTATTCACAATTCATTTGTGTTTTACTTTTTGTTATTTTTGTTATTTAGTTGGCGTCTTTAACTCGCTGCGCGCTCACGCACAAAATAAATAAATAGCTAAATAAAAGGTTTGCACTTATGGGTCTCGGGTCGGAAAAAAAGTAGGAAACAAAGCAAACAGCAGCCATATGCGATAATGGATAATGGATAGTGGTCTAGGGTCTTGGGGCGTCCCCAGTCGCAGCCAAATAATTACTTACTTTTGTTGGGCTTTTCTTGCAAATTCAGCGCGCTTTCTTTGCCTTTTTCCAGCGTGTTTTAACGTGTACATAAATTACGTAGATATTGTAATTTTTTCTTTCCTGCAGAGTGAAAACTACGATGTCATTGGCCTGAGGGGGGCTCAAGTCTGGGTTCAGTAGCTCGACTACTGGGCTTTCTCAAATATGTCTGTCTTTCTCTGTATGCGTGTGTGTGTGTGTGTGTGTGTGTGTGTGTGTGTGTGCAGATGTTCATGAATGAGTGGGTCGCCCGCATATTTGACAATGGTCTGTCCGAGCTTATGGCAAAAGTGAAAGCACCAGACCTTTGGGCAAATGTCATAAAATATGAAAAAAGCAAAACAAAACGAAAATTTTTATCGACTTGGCCAACAGCAGAAACACCTGCACAACTTCAAGGTCGTTGCATTACCATACACAACTTGGCAGCACGACTAACGTTGCCGTTGCCGTTGCCGTTGGCCATTTCCTGTTGTTAAGTCAGACTTGGCTAGCGACAGTTGAGTTGAGCTCTATCAGAGCCATTTATCTTTGGCCTGGCTAAAGGTTATAATTGACTTATTGAACTTTTATAATTCAATAAGCAATATATATTTAAAGTTCAGACTAGATTGCGACTGTCTGATATAGAGAAGACCTGAATTCTATCCACAAGTAAATTGGATTTGCACAGGGAATTCAAATGAAATCTACATGTGATTATCTACGGCATATTTGCGGCTAAAATTAAACTGTCAAGTGTTGGCACTTCAGCTGTTGCCAGCTACTACATTTATGAAATGTTTTCAATAACAAATTAAGATTACTTACCGCTTCGCCTTAAATCACGAGACATCTTCAAATGGGTATCTGCAATTGGCTAAAGCTGTTTATAGCTTATAAAATCACTGCAAAGGCACAATTACAATTCCCAGATAAGATAGAGCTCTTAATATAATAGATTTTGTCGGCAGTTGTAGATTGCAGTTGACCACACGAGCCAGAGCAGTAAACAGGCCTGAAGTGCGTAGACTAATAATACAAGAACCGATTGCAGTCACATGATGAGCTCACAGTCTATAAATAACTGCACGAGTTGTTTTTGTTTATTTCAATATTATTTTGTTATTTTTTTCGGCTGCCTTATCTAAGCCAGTTAATAGCCCCGAATTTAATCTAGAACCGTGCAGAAATATTCATGCGGCTGTCTTGTGGCCAATTCAAGCAATTATGCGAAATTCGGAATCATTGTGCCAAAACGCGATTATCTCAGATTGCAATATTAATCAAGTTTAATTAAGAGAATTCGAATGGGCAGGCATCTGTCTCCTGCAGCCCTTTAGTTGCACTGCCGGCACAGCTAATTGCCAGGCAATTAAAGGCTAATTGTAATACACATCAGCCGGCTACTATGTCGACTACAGACGTCATCTGTTTTAGCTCTATAATTAGCCATTTAATACGCGCAGCTAATGGCTTTGTTTCGCCTAGTGCCTAGTTTCGCCTTTGAGTGTTTCTCAGCTTCAATTTTAGCCAAATAATGTGAAAAAACAACGCACAAAGGAAACTGAAAACACACCAAAACAAACACACACACTCACACATGCACACACATACACCTGGACAGCACTTTGAGAAAAACAAGTTAGTTCAGCAATACCATAAATATTTGCATATTGAGCTCTTATAACAGTCTATTACATTCCAACCTGTTCAGTTTGGCATCACTAGGAAAATATTGCAGTTGGGTGAACCCAACTAGAAGATGCTCTACAAGCATAGATTAGCGGAAGTAATTATTTCCCAAAGCTCGAGTTTATTAAACTAATAACTATTAATACATAGTATATATAGAAATTGGTAAAGAGATTGTATTATTTTAACCTTATAGTTCCCAGCTCTTAGTTGACTCAAAGTCAGTTATATATAAAAGATATATAGGTATGTTTCAGATTTGTACATATAAGTCTATCATTTACTACAACTTCCCATTCGTATAGGGCATATGGAAACAATGGATGTAAAACTTAACAACAACAACAACAACAACTTAGCTGCTAGTTAAGATGTTAATTATGCGGCAATTAAGGCACTATAATAAAATTGACACTTTTTTATTTCAGTTACAGACAAAACAATTTTAATTAATGTGAGTTACTTTGGGGTGTATTAACAGAGCTGCTTAAATGTGTTAATAGCTTGAACTTAAAGCGTATATGTGTGTATATAACTTGTAAGTGGATTTATATGGAAGGTAACACGTAAAGAAAATACTAGAAGAGCTTTACTGAACTCGTTTTCCACCTATCTCTCTCCTTCTCTATCTCTGTCTCTTTCTTGATATAAAGAAGTCAGCTGTACTGAATTTATAATCCACTTAAGAATTGCATAAATAGTTTGAGTAGTCAAGTGGATGCGCTCGGACAAATCCTGTTTGCTCAATGCTAATGCTTATCTTCTTCTTCTTTTTCGTTGCAGCTCTGTAACATGTCACAATCTAACGGATATTGAGCAGCAGCAGCAGCAGCAGCTTTAACCACAATAACAACAACAACAACTACTACGAAGCACACATCATGGCAACCAATAGCAACAACAACAGCACAGCGATGACACCCACCGTCGAGTCGCTGGAAAGTCGCGATGAAGTCGACTTCATAGCCGCCACACACAACAACAACAATATTAACAACAACGAATATGAGGATTTACGCAGCGCCAGTGGCGTAGCGATCAGCGCCAAAGGAACAAACACAAACACAACAGCAACAGTCACACCAAACAATGAACCAAATGTCACCAACAACAACAGCAACAGCAACATCAGCAACAACAACTGCAACAGCAACACCTTGAAAAAGTCCAAGGAACGTCGCACACTCTTCAGCTTTGGCAGCAGCAAAAAGCAGAGTTTGGCCAACAAGTCATCGAGCAGCAGTCCAGTTCCCGCCCAAGGCACTGCCGCCACGCCCCCGAAGCCAACGGGCAGCGGCAGCCTGCTGCTGCCGCCCACGCCGGCAGTGCCAATCGGCACACCGCCGCGCCAGCACAAGTTTGTGAAGAGCAGCAGCATTGCCCGGCTGCTGGGCAACACGTACAACGCGCGCAAGTTCGAGCGCGAGGAGCAGAAGCGTCTGGCCAATGAGGCGAGCGGCAAGTTCCATACGTTCAGCGGCCGGCGTCGGAGCGGACCGGAGCGTCCGTATCTGGAGCGATTCAAGCGCATGTCCAAGGAGGATGGCGACATTGCCGGCGACGATGAGACGGTGCAGGTGACCAATGTGGTTACTCTCACCACAGATTCGCGCGACTTGCAGTACGGCAGCCGGCAGGAGCATGTCGGACGCGCCGAGGATCAGCTGAGCGCGAAGGCCATGCGCACATTGACCCGTGGACTCGGCAAGCTCTGGTGGAAGCGCACGCACAGTGTGGACATCAGCACACCGGATCCCGAGTACAAGGTGTCCTATCTGGGCAACGTGCTCACCGGCTGGGCCAAGGGTGAGTACCAAGAGCTCTACTTTGATATCTGTAAAGCATTTAACTTATTCTCCACTGTCTTCAGCAGGCGAGGGCTGCGTGGAGAAGCAACTGAACACACTGTGGCGCAACTACACCCAGCACACCAAGCCGGATGTGATAATGCGGGTGAAGGTGTGCGCCTCCGGGCTGAAGGCCACCACACGGCAGCACGGCCTCACCGAGTACTGGTCGAATCGCATCACCTACTGCTGTGCGCCCAAGAACTATCCGCGCGTCTTCTGCTGGATCTATAGGCACGAGGGCAGGAAGCTGAAGCACGAGCTGCGCTGCCATGCAGTGCTCTGCAGCAAGGAGAAGATTGCCCAGGACATATGCGACACACTGCGGGTGAGTGGACATCTCATATATATCTGATTGCACCTACTGAAACATCTCCTTTGTTTACCTTGCAGGAAAATCTGGAAAGCGCATTGCGTGAATTTAAGCGCGAGAAAATTCTGAAACAAAATGCGCGTCTCAGCCTGGCGAATGCCGTGTACGACAATCCCAGCTTGCCCAAGCGGAAGATCATGCTGAGCGTGGGCGGCAACAACTACAGGCCGCCCCTGGAACGCTCCAAGTCGGCGCCCAAGCTGATGGCCATCGAGGAGGCCATCGGCGAGGAGGAGGGCGACGAGATCGAGGACACCAATGAGCCCGAAATGATGCCCTGCTGTCAGCGCGACTCACTGTACCCGGCCATGACGCTGGGCAGGCGGCGCTGCCGTCGCGGTCATTCCATACGGCGCACAGGCA